GAGCTTCGTAGCATTAAGAGCTTGAGTTCAAATCCAAGCTTTTATGTTTGAATCTGATAAGTTAATCCTCTTATGATACAAAAAATACATCGGTTTTATTACCAGGCAACAATCTCGAAGCTTAGTGTTTTGGAAAAGTGCAGCCATTATATGTAAAAGGTAAAAAAGCCACTCGAAAGAAGTCATTTAAAACATTTCTTCAATGGGCATTGTCTCACACACCGGGGCACGTTGCTCTGTAAGATTTCCAAGTGGATTCTTCATCTCATGCTGTAATGTGGAAAGCAACTGAATACGCTGCAGTTAAAAGAGCAAACAAAATTGAGCCGGAAAAAAAAACTGCTTAGGAAGTAACGAGATTACAGTGGTGTAAGCTATGTGTGGAGGAATTCAAGCCCCGTACAACTTCAGCGCCCTGACTATAGAAGCTGTATGAAACTATGTTTGCTTAGAATGGCTATTCAAACAATGCCTTTGACTTTGAAAAGCCAAGCCAATGCTCTCCCGGGATAAAACACAAAGATTCTCGACTCCACCATTGCCCCTAGATTCCTTAGCATTCTGGTGTACCTGCTGGCAAAGCAGCAGGTACAAATGTATGCATGCTGAACTTCTTTCGCAACGTACGTAGCCAACTGTGCTAGTCGGAAAGTCTGACATTTTTATTTGCGATTTTTTTTTCATCACAAAGGGTAGCGTGTACGATTTATATGCACACATCTTAAGTTTCCGGATACAAACGTTTAATTATATGTTGACAAAGACAAGAACAAGGGGCTGGCACAAACAATCCTGTTGATGCAGCCACACCTTCAGCATCACTTCCTTCCTTCTGCCAGATCTCACAGTTGTTGCACAGTCGACACCAGACCTCCAAGGTCTGTCCTTAGAGTCTCCCACCATCTGGCTTTAGGTCTTCCCCTTGGTCATCACATTGTCAGTACCCATTTCAATGTTGGAGTTTAGTCTTCCTCTCTGACTACCCGTGATATGTTGTCTTACGTTTCTGTAGTTTCCTCTGCAGGGTGAAGCGACTACTGTTGGTGGTGTTTATATAAGTGCCTTCCGATACAATGCCTTCCATTGTAAATGTGTCATCACACAGCAGTGTATAAAATATAACTGTATATCCTGGAAAATGAAATTGCTTCTGCAAATGACTTTAAAACAATTTCAACTTAAAATTGCTTAAAAAAAAGTGTGATGGGCAATTTGTACCATATTCTTCGCATTCAAATATGCTACGGAAAGTAAGACGCAAGTCAAACTTGTGCCCCGGTATCGGTAAAGTTATACAAATGTAAAAAAAATACAAAGACAAAAATCCCCCCTATAGTCTGCACAGATTATTTGGGCAAGTGCTGTTAGCGAGCACCTATTAAGTCCGGCACGGCACCACTCCCGACTGCATTTGGCTCCCCAGTGGTGGTGTTTACACACCGCACCAAGTACTCATTTGAGGCTGAGTCGACCTAGGGGTGGCCCAGGACTGGTTCAGATATTCATCACTCCTTTTGTCAATCAGGAATTAAACTCGAGTTGCCGGGTTCGTAGCGCAGCGCACTACCGCTCCCCAGATACAAATGTGGTCACACACTGACACCGACTGGAGTATGAGATGCAGCCTCAACTTTTACTAAAAACATACAGGGGTGGGATGGTAGTGCGAGGAACACATCTTATAATCTGGAGAATATGGTGATTGAGAAGCAGTGTACACAGTGTAACGGCCAATGCACTGCTGGATGAAGGCCTCCCCACGCTGTGTCGATCTTGAGACTGTTCGAACATACTTGACCAGTGTTCAGTGTGAGTTGGTGAGAAACGTTTGGGCGGTGCGCGGGAGGGTTGTGGACAGGACTGGCTAAAATATTGCCGCTCACCGCTGATGTTCGCCTTCGCCAGGACTGAGATATCCATCATTTTTAAAGCAAACACTTAAACAAATAAGTAATGCAGCACCAATGATTGTTTAAGAGTATGCATGCACGCATGTTGAACTTCTTTCACATCCGTACGTAGCCGGCCATGCAAACCAGGGATGCGGGCGAAAGGACAACAAGTAAATCATGAAAATCAGTTATAAAGAAATTAATTTGAAATCTGGATTGAAAAGTGCATAGGTCCAGTGGCTTCCAAATATAAGAAGGAAGAGAGTTCCAGACGGTCGCAGAAGCGCGTCTTAAAGCGCGCGATGCAGTGGCCGTCTTTGTTGGATGGCCAGCCAAAAGCCGCTGCGAGGATGACCGGAGTTTGCGTGATGATGGTTTATGTTCCTTTGACGAGATCAGCAAAGGCATTGTGGTTCATTTGTGGCGAGCACTTCGTGTGTAATGATTGCGACCTCATAATGTATTCGTTTGGCAACTGGATGTTAATGTAATAATGCCTTTACTGACAATACTCGTATGGAACAGAACAAATGTGGAGACACACGACGGAAGAATGGTCCTGTACCCTTTCAGAACCGTTGTGTCCCATTATTATTTTGAAGGTTTTCAACCGAAAGTTTGCTTTCTCGCAAGTTCGTTTTTTTTCTATCTGATATTCAAAGCCAATACAGCAAATACAAGGAAAATTATGCGTGACAACAAGACATTAAGGGGCGCAGAGTTGTGGCTCTAGCGTATAGTGCACATGCCCATACACATGTATACTTCCTCAGCGCATGAGCAATAGTTGCTTTTGATGTGGGCCTTACAGCTTAAGTGAGATTGATTCCACCCTTGCTGTTTATTTTGCCTACAGATGTTTGCCTACGCTAAGTCATCTCGGCCAGGTCTGTTTAGTAAAAGAGACTTTGTAACCCACTGACCCTTGCCTGGTGAAGCACATCTTTAATTGATTGCTCGTTGACTTTCACAACAATGAATGGAAAGTCAATAAGTCAAGTTGAATGCCTATCGCGCCGTCGGTAAACTGTTGACTTTGCGAAATGCAATACAATGTACTCATAAGTGCCACTCCGTGAGACGTTAACAAAAAGGGTGTCATGAGGAGAGACTGGCTCCCGCATCAGGAATGTGGAATTGGCACCCGCTGGCTGAGAGTCTACAATGGGGATGAACATTGTCCAATGTTTGTATGCGCAAGGGGACACTCGCAACTTTAATGTACCTGTTCGCCCGATGCGTGGCCTTCTGTGTATATATGTATTTTTTTTCTCCCTTTTGAGGCCACAGTATTATGGGCGAATGTGTTGAGTTTTCTTTGCTTATTGTGCTTTTGCACCGCTGCCAATGCAGCAGCGTCACCGAATAATTTATTGAAATTGTTAAATGGCTGAAAAAGTCAGCACTCTGGTCGGAAGTTTGTTTCTCCCTCTCTCTCCCTCCCTCTCATGAAAATGGTAAAAAAAACCACGTGTGAAAATTAAGAATGGGTTTTAGCCTCTCTGGCAATAAAACAAGTGTTAAGATGTTCAAACACCAAATATAAACCTTTTGCAAGGAATCAAGATACTGCATTTAACCACACACAGTACTTGTGAACATGGAAACAGACATGCTCTGATGATATATGCATTGTCTTTGACACTGATTGGCCTACACAAAGACACCGCATATCTGATCAGAGTTTGTGTTTGCATGTTCACCACAAGTTCGTGTGGCTAATGCAGACTTGATTCCTTGCAAAAATCTATTTGGTGTTTGAACATCTTAGCACCTGTTTTATTGCCAGAAAGGCTGAAACCTATATATATTTTATATATACTTTGATACTGGCAAAAAAGGTCCCATGATATGGTAAAAACATATTCACCGAACCCACTTATACAGGTAGGATTTCTATTGATGAGCAAACAACTGAGATCAGTTTTAAATCGCGTACAATTGTCCAGGGTCCAATGATTAGTTCATTGTACCACGAACGGCGCGACCCGTGTTAGCGTCCCAGCTGCAGTTAGCCGCCCGAATGGCGAGCGATATTTGACCTCGTCTTGTCACTTCTCTCCCTTCACACAGCATTGGCCTGACGAAGGGCTGTTAAATATTCAGTACACATTGTTAATAATGGTATTCATCTGAATAAATATGTAATGGTAGGTTCAAGCAGCAATGTAGATGAAGAAAGTGCAGCTCTGTGTATGGGAAGCACACCAAAGCAACGACAACAGTGACAAACTCAGTTTTCAATCCATCACTATTTAATATTTATTTATGTATCATCTCAATGCGATGAATAGCTCGGGCGAGGCAGATAATGCTTGCAGGGTCACGGACGTGGCAAATGTGTAAGGGCAGCAAACGTAATGTATACATTATGTACAGGTGTGTATATATATAAGAAATTAGATGTAAATATAAACATTTTTGTTAGCACATTTTTTCGGATGTTATGGTGGCAGAATGCACATGACTCACATACGGACTTGGGCTGTGTTGATAACCTAGTGAGAGTCCACTGGGACAAAAGTCTGTTCTACAAGGGAGGCCTGGGATTACACAATCAGAAGGCTGCGAGTCCAAGTGTTGGTCAGGGGTTACAAGTAAGCTCATCAACTCACCATTATAGATAGATTACAGTGCAGTGCCACTTTGAAGTACATCAACGGCGATTACCATTTGGAGAGAATGGCCTTCACCATTGAAATGTGACATTTCCACTAATAGCACAGCATCACTGAGAGGGATGAGCAGCATTTGTTTGAGCAAGGGAAACATTTTTTACATATCGAGGGTATTTTGGCCTACTCTTTCACACTGGCCAGACATCACAGCCAACCGTGGTTGGCTACGTACGGTCAACTGACCCACGAACTATGGTGCACCCAGTTATACTGCTGGGTTGGAAGAGGGGGGGGGTTAGGAAACTCGCACCATGGTTGCAGTCTCCACGCTGGGGGGAATGATCCCGGCGACATGTGGACACATCTGGGTCACAAGTCAAGTCGGTTGCCCACTACACCACGGCAACCACGGTAGCTTCCCGGGGTGGTTGTTGTTGTTGTTGTAAGTAGGCGGGAAGAATAAGTGAAACTAAACAAGCATCAGTCATACCTGCCGTGCAGATCACGGGTTCTCAGGGGCCTCGGCAGGCTCGCTGTCTGTGTAGGGCCCTCCCACAGCCAGGCGCGACATGGCCTTCCTCGCATGGTACACCCCTGCCGATGGATTTTCGGAGCCGCTTCCTTCCTCGTAGTCCTGGGTTTCGGTGCCCGCGTCTTTGATTCCAACCCCCGGACCAACTGCGCCTTTCAGCTCTGCTACGGATGAGCCTGCCTCTCCACTGGTCGTGCTGCAAAGACAAGATTGACAACTGTTAAGCTCTGTGTATTCAACAGCGATACAAAGGTGCCTTTCATTTGGGCTGTAAAACAAAAAAAAGAGAGAGAAGGTGAATGAATCACTTGCATTCGAAACGAAAGGCTCCTTGAGAAATCGCAAAATGTCTGATTGAGATAAATCCAACAAAACAAGAGGGCAGTGGAAGGTAGAGGCATGGACAAAGATTCGGGGCTCTTAGGTCAGGTACAAGGGATATACCAGACGTGTGAGCGGGGGACCAGCTGCAGAGAGGGTGGTGAATAAGCGACCACTCAAGGTGCTACAGGACGAGGAGGACCACGATCTGACTGGCAGCCAAACATCTAACACTGGACAGGATGAAAGCTATTAGGGGTCTCCGAGGCTAAAGACTAAAAAAGTAACTGCACTCTAACAATACAAGTATTATTATAATAATAATACAAGTATTATGAATTATCTCAGTTGAAATATGCAGAGGTTTGCACAGAAGTTTTCATGCCTCAATGACCAAAAGAATAGGCTATCGGTCAACCAATCCACATCATTAGCGCAATATGGTGAGATACATTATTTTTGTTTGTACAACCAAATATTTTGTTTTGTGCAAGCTAACATAGCCTTGCATCGAGAGCATCATGAAAAACAATCACGTCAGGAGTTCATCGAATACTGTACGTTTGTATTACTTTTTAAAGCACGCCTTCATATTTTCGAAGCATTGTTGAGGGTAAAATCGTAGTGTTATGTTTGAAGGCCTTTACAAACAGGTCTAAGGCATATTCTTGGTTCTTTCGGTAAAGTCACGTAGAAGGGAAACAATAAAATAATAAAAATATAAAACAATAAAATTCTCACGACGTTTCGACTGCAACACAAGCAATCATCATCAGGTGTGAAAACCACAGCAAGAAAATTTGAAAAAAGTGGCGTTTTTTTAACGTTAGCACCACGCAGGGCGATTTGGCAGTTATTCAGATGGACGAGTCCATCTATGTTCGGAAAAGAGGAAGGGGGGAGACGAAAATAATGGATGCGGTCTCAAAGCTTTAAATCAAAATTTAGGTCTACGGCAGCTATTAAGATGGAAGTTTAGTAACTAAAGGGTACCGTGCCATCTAAGTTAAAGGTCATAGTGTGCATGTGTGGGATGAGTGGGGAGTTGGGGACCGTGACAGGATATGGGGACTCTGGGAGTGGGTGTTTATCGTCTGTTATTGATGCGCTTCTGCGGACGTCAGGAGCACTCTTCCTTCCGATATTAGAAAGCCACTGCCGCTATATGTACTTTTAAACATAGGTTCAAAACGAATTTCTTTACAACTTATTTTTGTGGTTGAGTTTGTTCTCCTTACCCCGCACCTCCCTTTAGCACGGCTAGCTGTGTACGGTGCGAAAGAAGTTCAACATACACACGTACGTTTGAAATGTTTGTATCTGGTCACCAACTGTTAACAAAAGCAAGTTGGCTCGGTTGGGCGCGGCACACACGGGTCGTGGCTCGAAGCGATGACGAGCGATGGTCAAGCATTAAAACGGAGTGGGAGCGTTCACCAAGGAGATGTGGCGATCAGATCGGTTCACGAGCAGGTGTTAATTAATAATTGTTATTGCAAAGCAGGCCCGTGAGAGGTGGCGTCAGCTTTGGGAACTTTTCATCCAACGGTGGATTGAACCTGGCTGACGATGATCATGATCATTTGGCTCAGTTGGACTTTCAGGAGTCAAGTCATGGTCTGACAGATGTGCAGATGCAGACACAAACATAGAAAGTGAACATTTGATCAAAATCAGGCGAGGTTCGGTCTACCGGTTCGTGTCTTACGATGCCGTATGAATAAACATTTTTTTTTTAATGAGAAGCATAATTGAGTTTGAGTTCATATTATTTGCTACACAGATGGTGCAGTTTAGACAGTTCCCGGGAGATCCGTGTTTCTGCGGTGAGCACAGCAGCAGCAACAAAATAAATACAAAACTATTAACATTGCAGACGACAAGAACAGAGTCCTTAGGGGATATAGCACAACGAACAAACGAGGTATTTGCCTGTAATTGGTATAAACTGTCATACTTGTTTTCCCCTAACACAAACACCACGGTACACTTCAAAGTAAATACCAAGTGAAATAAATACAGGGGGAAGTCAACAGTTAGCCATCATAGGGATAGACTGGCCCCTGCCATGGGAACGTGGAATTCACGTATTTGGCTCCAGATTGTCAAAGGAGATGAGCTGCCCCAAGCTTGTTTGATTGGAGACTTTGTACTTCGAAGTGATATGCACCATGCTCAGTGATGTGACAATCATATACAGATAAACTTGCATTGTTGAATGTTGCTGCGATTAAACACTTTATTATTACCAGTGTTGTTTGCTTAGATAATGAATATGCAGTATTCACATACATTTATTTGCCATGAAAGAACAAAAAACTATATTTCATACAGTTTAACACGTAGGTTTTGGCGACCAATATCATCCAAAATACAGGTTTTTTGGGTTAGATCGTGTAAATATAAATGTGTTGTTAAACCCGCCACCACCTGACACAGCTAATTAGTAAGGTTTGTCACGTAAACAGAACATGCCAATTCGTTACTAGTAAAGCACACCGGTATGTTGGAGAGCAAATCCACAACATTTACAATCTGAGTATGACATTTCGCCAGTAATTACAGCTAGCATGGTCACGCGGCCAGCCAGATTCGTCTGGCTCTCCGCCTGATGATGCTGATTTGTCTGGCTGTCCGCCTGATGAAGCTAGCTGTAATTACTGGCGAAACGTCGTACTCAGATTGTAAATGTTGTGGCTTTGCTCTCCAACACACCGGTGTGCTGTACTCGTAACGAATTGGCACGTTCTGTTTACGTGTCAGGTGGTGGCGGGTTTAACGACACATTTATATTTACGCGATCTAACGCAAAAAAAAACCTATATGATCTATTTAATACATTTTACAATTGTAAATTACAGTCATTCGAAAATCTTCATTTGAAAATTACATGCAAGAGTAAAAAGTGTGGCCATGATAACTACTGTATTGGCACGAGGATTCAGTTTCATGTTTTTTTAATTACCCGCGTGAGAATTCAAGAGAGCAGGATAGTCTCACATGCAGGAGTGACCTGTGTACTTTTGTAAAATGAGGACACGGATCTCAAAGGTTGTGTAATTAAAGCGTACTAAATCGAGTTTAAATGGCCCTATAAAAGACAATGCACCTTTGCAACACAGCCACTAAAAGTGCATCTTAAATGCTGTATTGCTAAGATACATTTGAACACATCCTTTATTAGGGGGAGTTATAAAAGGAATAGTAAACATAATCCTGGCTTTACTTCACCCCTGTTCACGGTGCAATAAAGATGTATGGGTCACCTGACTTTATTATCCCTTTCGGGCTCAAAGGTCACGATGCTACAATCACCTGTCGGTCTGCAATTTTCCAAAGTCCGGTCGTCTGACTTGAAGGTATGCTACTGCTCTCCGGAACAAAGCGATAAAACGGTCGACAGCCGATGTCATGTAACCCGAAGAACTTCTAATATAAACAATTTTCAAATAACAATTGATCCGTGTGGCACTATAGTTATAGAACACTTGACTGACAACCTTCCGGTTGTAAGCTCGAATGCTGTCTGCGTGTCACCTCGGGCCCATTATCCCCCTGGTGGGTGTGCAATGAGTACCACTTAGTGGCAAGTGAACATTAGCTTGCCTCTAGAGTCTAGAGAAAGTGGGCCCTGCCAGAAGGACTGGTCACGGCCAGCAAAAACCAGTCCAACATTTAGTTATTACATGTTGCTGCGAGGGACTCCCAAATCTCCCCCTTGCCGTCAGCCAATCAGTGAACACGATCAATCGGTATACTCCTTGCTTTCAGGCGCAGTATTAATACTGCGCTTTGAGAGCACGAAGGGTCTGGGTTCGATTCCCAACTCGGGAGTTTGTATACGCTCTCCCCTTGATCCGCATGGGTTTCCTTTGGGTTATATTGTTTCCTTCCATAGCTAAAGAAACATACAATGTAACCGGTATTTGCCAAGCATGGCAATGCTGACATTTTGACCTGTAAATTCTTCAACTGGGATTGCATAAAAGCAACATCGCCCCCGATTGCGAAAATGTTCATGGGCTGTCCTGAAAAAGACTCGGTGAGACTTTCCTGGGTCAACGAGCATGACTAATAAGAGATAACAAACAGTACATTTCCATGTTTGACTTCCCTCGGTGCGCTCATGTCTCTCATAACCTTACTCATCTTAGTCTGAATTTCGATTTAAAGCTTTCGTGACATGCATGGATTCATATTCTTGGCTCTTTCGGCAAAGTCACGTAGAAGGACGGCTGCTTGCGTTGTGGCCGAAACGTCGTGAGAATTGTATTATATTATGTTTTATTTTATATATTTTTTATTATTTATCTTCTACGTGACATTACCGATAGAACCAATAATATCTTAGTCTGCATTTTCGTTCATCCTAGTTAATTTCATTTTGTCAAAGTCACGCATGGATTTTGATTCCCCATAGCCATCGTGTTCATCAACTCATTAGCCACCGTTAGCTAAAATAAAAACCGCAAACTTTAACACTGCCAGCAATGGAGATGGGCACACCCTCAAGCGAGTGTGGCTATGTTGGAGGTACGTTTAAGTCTGAAAAGAGAGCTCTGTGTTATCATTGGCTTCATCATGACAAAGTGATCCACCAACTAAGCGGGCCTCCCATTAAACATGGGAAGTTGGGCCAACATTGGTCCAACGGTTTCAAATACGTTGACCCGACGTTACACGTTTACTGGACTGCTGGTAATTTATAAATAACACCCAATGGGTATTTTTGTTTACTTCTCAAACAACAATATATATCTGCCATAATGCATCAAATGCTCTCTCTGGGCGGCGCAAGGCACTCTGTATGCACGGTGCATTACTTGCTTGTTATCGTTGAATCTTAAACAACAATAATAGCCGTGCTGATTGCACAACTGTGCCGGGCGGTCACTGTGGTGTAAATCTTCATCCCGACGGCCCGTGATCGCTACAAGGGTGACCAATGGGGGTTCGGTGGGGAAGGGGAAAAGCGTTGCCCGAGGTGGCGGCTGTGTGCAATTGCTCAGTGGGCTGCGACGATTTGTGTCTCCTATGTTCCGTCGTACACAAGGTGCGGTGCAGCGGCGTTTCTCATAATGTTCGGCGTTAATAAGCAAATTTTATGAGATTTCACAGTCAAAACAAAGGAAAGGCAAATCGCAGCGTCTCTATGCTCACACAAGCATTGAAGTCGCACTAATCTCTACTGACGGCTCTGAGCCAAAGGTAAAAAAAATCAACACGGGAGAATGTCAGTTACCACTGAGCTCTGGGAAATGTGGCGCTCGTTGATTGATGCTGGAGGAAACTGTGTGGAATATGAGTAACAAAATAAATACGAAAATACGCCTACTGTTAATATCCGTCCCTCCATATAAAACAAAATGGACATATATATTCGTTTACACATTTTATCAGTCACGCAGCCTTCCTCGAAGCTTGGACCCATATCTAACAGAAAGGGCTCTTACCTATAAAGTCCTGGCAGTTCACCAGCATTGGTTCTTGAGAACTGCTTTCTCTGTTTAGTTTGCTGTCTTTCCCCCACACTTCCGTTTAGCGCGGCCTGCTATGGTCGGTGCGAAATAAGTTCAACAAACAGAACACACAAGCAAGCCTGACTGTGAACGACACACCTGAAGTGTCAAAACCGGTCCATAATTTGCTTCGTGAGCAACCGATGCTGCCGAAGTGACACGCTTCCAGAAGAAGTCCGTGTGGCTGGTGGGTTCCGTAATTTTTTTTTATATATCTGTGTGGAGAGAGCGATATGGGGATGTATTTTTGTGAGCACATGGAAAAGTGGCCGTGGCAGAACCGTGCAGCAGCGGCAGCAGCAGCAGGAGCGGCGGCGGCGGTGGAGCGCAACGGAGGCACATGGGGGCACCTGCTGAAGGGGCTGAGTGGGGTGTGGATGGTGTGGCGGCGCGTGTGGCCGCTGCCGGCCCGTAGCAGCACCATCTTCCTGCCCTTGGCCCCGCCCCAGCTGCCCTGCTGCCTGTAGCCCACCTGGGCAGCAGGGGCACGGAGAGAGAGAGAGAGAAGAAGAAGACACGCGAGGGTGCAGTCAGTTAGGGGCGTTGTGGCGACTCACACCTCGCTTCCCCAGTGGGGTGCCACGGTGGCGAGATGTTAACTACCTCACCTCGTACACAGGGGGACGTGAGTTCGATCCCGACCCTGATGGCTGATGTATGTTTGGAGTTTGCGCGTTCTCCCCGTGGTCGCGTGGATTTTTCTCCGAGTCCTCTGGGTTTTTTTTGTATTTTTTCACTTTTAGAAAAATGTGTGTTCGGGAATTTTGGCTTCTGTAAATGTCCACGCGATAAGCCACTTTGTCGGGCTATCATTTGTGGCCAGGTCGCATCTAAAAAAGAGCTGTATAGCTCAGCGGACCCTTACCTGATAAAACAAAAATAGTAGCAGTAATAGTAGTAGATGCCATGAACGGTCATGAATCGGGGAGGGTGGACGGTACTCCACAACTCTGTTTAAAATAAAGAAATACATTTGCTTTTTGAATATTATTTGTACAAGTTGTAAGTAATGCATGCTTAAATATAAGTAATTCATACTTACATGTACAAATTGAATTTATTGATGAACTGAGTGAGCATTGCATGCCTCACAGTCAACATTAGAGGCATTTATTTACATATAATGTTGAGCCCGTTATCAATCCACTGCTGGATGTGGGCCACTGCACACCACGTTAGCCATGGGGTTTGTTCGACCATACTTCACCATGCAAGTCAGTGGTGTGTTGGTGAATGGAGCCCAGGATTAGTTCGGATATCACTGGCCGCTGACATTGGATGTTGCCGGCTATCGAACTCAGGTATTTGGTTTGAAGAGTGTGCTAAATCACAGTGCCACCACTCCCCGTAGTCTTCTGTTGGTAAGCGTTAAATACAGTATATTGTTTCAGGATTTTTAAGAATAAGCCATTGAGCCAGAAGGAAAATCCGTTTGGGAACCCATGTTTCTCTTGTGACAAATGCAATGACACTCTCAATGTTCAGAGCTCGATTATATTCAGTTTTTCGTCTGTTCTCGATATTCCTATAACATTTCATATTAAGAAAAGAACAATTATCAGTCTCTTGGTCCCCTCTATTTTCATTTTGAAATTGCTGCTCTCTTGAAAAATCCTTAAAAAAAACATGCACACCAAAACAAGACCATCCAAAGATCTATGGTTGGCTTTACTGTTCTTTTATATTTCAATTGTCCAACTATGTATGCATACTCTACTATATATAGCAGAAACACCTCTTATCCACGGTGATGTGGGAGACAAACATTACGGACCCAATTATCTCAGAATTTACTCCAGTTTTCCACCAGAAAAATGAAGATAACCCGCAGATAATAGTATTAATTTCCAGATTAACTCCACAGGTACATACAGGAAGCCATCCTGCAATTCAGGACAGGAAAGTTGCAGATAACTAATCTAGATTTGAAGTTTTCGTGACTGCAGGGATCCATACTCTTTGGTTCTTTCGGTAAAGTCACGTGGGTATAAAATAAAATGAATTAAATCAACGACGTTTCGGGCGCAGACACAAGCGTCCGTCATCAGGTGGGACAACCACAGCAAGAAACAATTGCTGAAGTGGGCAAAAAGGAGATAACTGTGGATAAAAGGAAGACTAGGGGCATAGATAATAGGAGTGTTCGCAAACCCTATAGGTGCCACGAATAATAGGAGTTGTGGGTAATACGTGTCAAGGATAATAGGGCCATGGATGGGAGGCGTTCTGTAATGTTTGGCTCTGGTCATGTGGCACCATGGTTAGAGCACTCGGTGTACAATTGAAAAGTTACACATTCAAACTATGGTTGTGGGTCAACTTAGCTCATCGCCTATTGCGGGCTAGCATAAATCAAGGGTGGTTGTACAATGCAAGATTATGGCTCCCAGTATAGGAATGTGGCATTTCCAGCACTGGCTCAGGGCCACCAACAGAGAGATGAGCACCACCCTACTGACTGTTTTATACAATTCAAAGGTCCTTTACCCTCGTGGGCAGATTGTCCCCATCTGTCCAGACTATAATATCCTTCCTGATGAGTTGGCTCGGTCCCACGTTTATCTGTCTCAGATTACCACGTCACTTTCTCTATGGGGGTTTCCACGCTGCTCACCCATCTGCGAGATATCCCCTGGGTGCGATGTGTGTGTGTGTGGTGTCTTTTTGTTAAGGTTCGTGTCTTCAGGGCCACTGCTGTAGATCACATTGCTAGATCTGCTGCTTGAAACGTTGACTAAATGCACGCTGTATATATATATAAAAATACTGCCCTGTTTTATTTCGCTTCTGGATGAAGGCTTCCGCACACCATGCCTCTCTCCCCATGTGTTTCTCTACTCGTGTCTCTCTCGGCGTGTGTCTCTCTCCACGGTTGTCTCTATTCCCGTGTGTGTCCCCCTCAATGTGTGTCTCACATGGGGGTTGTTTGACCATACTTCCCCATGCTGGTCAATGAGGGCTGCTGAAGGTGGGGAGGCCAATACCAATAAAAAATATCACGTGCCACTGATGCTTGTCATGTCTGGGGATAAAGTTCAGCTCAACGGGCTCATAGTGCAATGCGATAACTGCAGTGTTTCAAAATACATATATATATAACATTGAAGGACACTAGACCCTTCCTATGAAGGTTGAAGGTTCAATAACCCCCAACCCAATTATGATTTGGTTGGTCGTATACAACACCAACGTGAAAGGTAAATACACGTATGAACAGTTTCATCCCACGTATCGCCATAGCCCCATACTTCTTGATTAATGAAGGCGAAGCTACAGCCTTGCAGTTGCCTGCTCACTCCACTGCGAGCAGAAAGAGGTCCAACAGAGGTCACTCAAAGGAGCACCTCTGCAGAGTGTTTGGCTTACTCTGCCACACTTGCCAATAAAGGTGGGAGTACCCACACTTTACCTCTCCAAACGTCACTTCCCAGTCGACTAACCGTGCTGCACCCATTTATACTGCCTGGGTGAACAGATGCAGAGGGTATTTAAGAAATGTCCCCCATTTGTCCACGGCCACGCGGGGAGGTTGCACTGTCGACCTCTGGATTTCAAGTCCAGTGTGCCAACCATTACACCACAGTGGCAGCAATCCTTTATATTTATTTACATAGGCGCACAGTTGCCGAACGAATACATCACGAAGTCGCACTCATTACACACAGAGTGCTTGTCACAAATGAACCACAAGACCTTTAGCTGATCTCGTCAGGGAGCATAACCCATCAAGCGAACTCCGGTCATCCTCGCAGCGGCTTTTGGCGTAACCATCGAAGAAATATGGTCACTGCATCGCGCGCTTTCAGATGCGCTTCTGATATTAGTAAGCCACTGGAGCTATGCACTCGTAAATCTAGATTCAAAACTAATTTCTTCAGAACTACGTTTTTGTGTTTAGTTTGTTGTCCTTCCCCGCACCTCCGATTAGCACGGTTGGCTATGTACAGTGCGAATGAAACTTCAACATACATACATTTATTTTCATCCACTTGAATGGTTCCTGTCAAAAAGAGTTGTCTCTCTGGAAAATTAGATGGTGTGAGTTATCAAGCTATTCTACCGTACTTTTGATCACTGATCTGCAGACAATTGGAAGGTTTGACAATTTCACACACTTTTCTATTTATTGGGTTGGCTCATGCTCTGCTACTGTATCTTTTTCACGATATATTATTCCTATTCCAAACCTACTTTCCAAAGGATAATTGCATGTGAACGGGCCCTATCAATCACCTACAGCTTTCCAAGCTTCCTTTTGATCATATGTTTTGGTTCTCAATGGTTTGCGTTGGTGCCTTAAAACAGTTAACACAAAAATTAAGTACACATATCCCCACGGGCTCTCATCCTGTAAAGCAAATATAATGAAACAATATAGTATTACCTAATTGTTTATGCATAATCACCTTTGACATATGTCCTGGACAAAAAAACTGCGGGCATAATGCACTTCTTCAAGGACATGCTGATGGATTTTGTGTAATGCACAAAGACCGAGTGCTTTTGACCCGTTTCTGCACGTTGTTTGAAACTCAAGGCTTTGCCGCCCACACTATTTTTCTGGTGTGATCAGTCATTCTCATCATTTGCAGATTCGATGATGGTCATAACGGAGTGGAGGGGTGAGCTTGGGTTCTACGGATCAAATGCCCGTTAGGAATGTAATTTATTACCATGTTGTGAGCATGAAGCAATTTTTTTATAATCCCATTGACAAACGTAACTCTACACGGACCGAGCCACAGCGTAGAATCTGAGATGGCCTTCAAAATAAAATAAAAAGGGGTGTACTTTTCACATCTTATTCTTCTCTGCAGTGGTAAAGGTCAGTGGTCCTGTTAGCCTCAGGTTATGGAATAATGAACTCAACATTTGTTGACCTTTAGCGAAATCCACCTTTTTTGCAGTCACCGTTTGAGTAGGACGGCTGTTATAAGCGTGTGCTTGACCACACATGGCGTGCCGTTTTAAATAAATACTCCCCCACGTTTTAGTTTTCTTTACAGTAAACTAAATATTAAGTGTTGATGTTGAGAGCGTGACCACGTAATTTTTAAAGCATATGTCAAAGTAAAAAAAAAAGCCCGCCCAAATGTCCTCGTACTGGAATGAACACTGGTGCAATGGTTATCTCTGTTGGTGGCATAAGTCAATGTGGAAATTCCACATTACTAGGCAGGGGCCAGTCTAGCCATGCAATGGTCAAGAATGATTTTCAACAACGTGGTGCTCTTTGTTCTCTCGGCCTCGGATGGATGATAGGTTAGTTGACCTCTGACTGGAATTTGAGTGATATCTAACCAAAATGACACCAGAATTCATACTTATGCATGCACAGTACAATGATGTACAGTATATAATATGTGAGATCCTTGTTTGGACCATGATCCTGAACATTTTATCATTAAATTGGAAACATTCCAATAACAACAATTTACAGCTCTCTACCAATTAACTGCAGGATGATGGCCTTCCTAAGCCATGTCTGTTATTGTTTAGCCATACTTCACCATGCTGGTTCGTGTGTGTGTGTGTGTGTGCGTTGGTGAACGGGGGTAGAGCAGAACTGGTTCAGTTATCACTCGCCACTGATGATAACCACGGCAAGTAATCGATAAAAGGTCGCCGGGTTCACAGCGCAGTGCCGCTAACCACTGTGCCACCACTCTACCTCGTTGCGTTCACCAGAATGTCACCCTCGGATATTTTCGTAATGATATACTGCATATCGTAAAAATGAAAAATGTATGCACCTATGAAAACAATCTTCCCTGCCAAGTCTACATAGCAACGTTTAAAGAGTGTATACTTTGGCAATGCAAGCACCTGTTACGTACATTTTAATCAGCCTCGGCCTGAGCTCAATTTGTGTAGCAAACAGCGGAGGTGCAGCTGCAGTCAACGTTAAAACAACACGGGGAACGTAGGATCTACGGATCTAAATGTGAGCAAGGCAAGGGTACACACTACAGGCAGTCATTCTCAAATGACCTGTACAACATCAATCCATCAAGATCCTATATTCAACAAAGTGATATCCAACGATGTCTGTAATTGATTATCCGTGTGATTTCTGCAAAAAGAGACTTACGTCTCTAGTTATGTATCGTTGGGTTTGTTTTTACATAGGTGCATGCTGTTTTCAAAATTGGAATTTGATCTATGGCTGTGACAATGGTTGAATCTTGCACATGATATCGCCTGATGCGTAAGATTCACTGTACAGTTGTTTTGGTAAATACCTAAAGAAATAACTCACTGGAAGAAGAAGCTGCTTACTGTAAAAATGTAGACTAAATTACGGGCGATAGGGCGACAAAGTGGTAACACTTGTGCCTCGCAGTAAGAAGTCCCTGGTTCGATTCCAAACTCGGGCACCTTTCTGTGTATAGTTTGTGTGTTCTCCCCCTGTTCTGCATGGGGTTTCCTTTGGGTTCTTTGGTTTCCTGCCGTAACTACAAACGTACAATGCAATTTGTGTTGGCCAAACATCCCAATTCTTGGAAAAGTATCTTGTGACTCATTGTGGCTTTCCTGGGTAAATAAGTGACTATTATATAATTGTTATAATAGTATTACATAGAAAGGAACACCCAACGAGTTTATAGAAGGTGACTACCTAACCCGCTTTCGAATGCTCTCGGCACCCCAAACTACATAACGAAGTCCTCTATTTTCCATTGGAAACCTGTTCATAAAACAATGGTGAGATCTGGTGGCTTGAAGACGATGGGCTCTGTGAAAGAACCTTATTCATGAAAGAGTTTACATTTTCCAAAGACGCATGTTGAGAATATGAACCTCCACTAAATTGGCTCACAAATACTCACTGAATCCGTTTAACTCGCCAAACAAATGCTGATAAAATAATCACAAATGATAGCAAAGCCCGGACATTCTACTCCTCTACTCGTGGATCGACACTCCATGATCATTCCTCCAGAGTTAACCAACAACAACCGAACGGTTGGAAATTGGCAGCATTATTCTGAGGAGAAACCGGATTATGCCATGGCAATGTGGAATGTCCACCATTGGCTTAAGGCTGCCCATGGAGGTTAGATGCTTTCCACTCTTGTCTGAACAGGGAGATACTTTGAGTATAGAATGTTGGGTTATACGGTGTCCACAAAGATAAACGACACACTTCCCATTCAAGCATGCTAGCTCTTTTACAAGCATAGAATAATAGATTCAATTTAGCCGAAAGTACAACCATTGATAACGTGAACCGGCCACAATCTTAACGGTAAAATTAAAAAGCTACGCCCTTTAATACGTTCTTAAAGCCATGATTAGTTGCGGGTTTTTCTCACCGCAGTAGTGTTAAATAACATATTTGATTTTCCCCATTTAACGTCAAAAGAAATCAATCAACATCAACCCCCTGAGCTCACAACAGTTCTGTGCCACAGTGCCAGAAGTATGTTTTCACTTTCTATGTAACATTTAAGTGAGTGTAACATTTAAAAGGAGGGAATATTGGTAAGAAAAGCACCTGTTTGTGTAAGCTATTGCGATTTCCAGTGCACCGTCAGGGCACCTGCTTGGCTCTTACACAACGTCAGAGAGTGATGTCTGCAGCATGGGCTACGGCAGCTGTAAAACGCCGTTGTGAAATGGAAAGTTAAACGAGTAAAATAATGTATAAATTGCATTGCCTCTGGATAGGGGCAATGCAATTTGCCTGAGAAGTGTCCTGCAACAGTCAAAGAGTATGGTATATTGTACCTTATTCTTGGTTCTTTCGGTAAAGTCACGTAGAAGGGAAACAATACAATAATACAAATATAAAACAATAAAATTATCGCGACGTTTCGACTGCAACACAAGCAGTCATCATCAGGTGTGAAAACCACGTGACTTTACCGAAAGAACCAAGAATATGAATCCCTGCAGTCACGAAAGCTTTAAATCAAAATATTGTACCTTGTCAAATAGAGTATGCACAAAGCAAACGATATTTGCAATAAATATTACATTTGGGCCTTAACAATCTTACGCTCTGATATGCATAAAAATTTAAATCCAAAACGTGTCCCTCACAGACAAAGTCTGTCGCGTACTTAAAAAAAGAGGAACATCAATCTTTAATGTGCCCAGGCTTTAGTGATTGGCTGAAACAAGTTCATGAGGCCACGGATATTAATGGAGAAAACGATTTACGTAGTATAACTGATTTGATTTTACAAGAAGTCAATAGAGTACAGCTGTTGCCATATAATGTAAGGAAATTCAGGATGTCAAAACGGAATGGGTATTTGCTACTCGGGTCGCCGAATTTGTAGAGCAGTGAGCTAACCGTGACACTACCGTTGCCCGGTCACACACGCACACACAACACTTGTAGAGAAAATGTTATGTCTACAATTCTCTGCAACCACTTACTGCTGCAATGCCAAGGGATTAACCTTCTTTTCACCCAGATTAGCCATGTGTTCCAGCATGCACACTTCACTCAAGGAAAACAATGATAATGAAACGGCAGGAAGACTCTTCTGTGCATTGCATGGCCTCATTAAAAAAAAAAATGTTACCCACACATATGCATATGCCCCTTTCGAAACCCCCCCCCCCCCAAAAAAAAAAAAACTTCCACCTGCCCACAAAAGTCTTGCAAATCAGGGTCAGTGACATGCGCGGTATTTCTCGGAACGGTAACAGGATGTCTCTGAGGTTCCACCTTCCCGCTCTACTTGAATCGAACAAAAGTTATCTGCCCTCTACCCACTTCTCCTGCTTCAGTCGTCCACACCCCACCTCGCCCCCCTCGCCCCCGCTCGCTCGCGCCCCCCTCGCTCGCCCCCCGCTCGCCCCTGCCACCGCTGCTGCCGCGAAGCGAGCACCTTGACTCCCCTGCCTTTGCTGTAGGTGACGGCGGAGGAGCCGTGGCCGGGCCTGCGCGCGGGCGCCACCGAAGGGGCCGCCGCTTTGCAGTCGGCGGGCGGTCCGCGGTGCGCCCGCCCGATCTCGCACAAGCGGCGCTGTGCCGACCTCAGGGCCGTGGACAGCGCACCACGCTCGCCCGTCCTGCGCTCTGCTCGCACCGCACGGGCAGACGGGCAGACGTGAGAGGGGGAGAGGAGCAGCGACGTCGATTCGTTATTTTAATTTTTGTTTTCTTCTTCACGAGCGGCGAGCAGCCCATCGAGAGCAGTGGCCGCTTCTGAGTTAGGAAGTTTTAGCCCTAAATTAATGGCAGTTGAATTCAGTTATAATTACACAACGGTTGTTCACATTTATATCCTTAGCTCTTTCGGTAAAGTCACGTTGAAGGGAAACAATAAAATAATAAAATATATATTCTTTGGGTCTTTCGGTAAAGCCACGTAGATAGATCAAATACAATTTTTTTTTATTTTATCTATCTCTGTGGCTTTATCGAAAGACCCAAAGAATTTTAATTCCTGCAGTCACGAAAGCTTTAAGTCAAGATTTCATGATGATTTAATGTCTTATACAATAATTGTTTAAATATGTCTTCATACAAACATGCATTCCAGTTCACGGGGTAGAGTGGTGGGAACATCTCTTCCAAGACATCTGGTCGGCGTGGAAGAGAAGGCCAAATGTACCATCGAGGGTTTCTCAAGAGATTCTTCTTGCAGAAGCCTCTTTGCTCAAAAGTGGTGTGATCAAGAAATTGCAGGGCTGCACCCCCACACGCCTTTATTCATGGTCAGCTCTTACCTGTAGTATCAAGCTACCAAGCAACATTCATGGGTCTCACCTTGCCGGTGAAAGTCAAAATTGTCTAAACTGATCCAGTGCTGACCTTATTTAAATTAAAACTAAACTATTTCTATTTTTCCAGGTAAGGCCCACTGAGCTCTGTAGCTCCTTTTCAGAAGCGACCTGGCCACAAATGATAGCTCAAACGAAGTGGCTTATCATGCGGAAATATACAGCAGCCAAATACTCTAAACGCGTGTTGTTATTGTGGAGGGGAAAAACCCGAAGGACCCGGAGAAAAATCCGGAACATGTGAACTCCAAACATACAGGCATCAGTGTCACGATCGAACCCACGGCCACCTGTATTCCAGGCAAGGTACATCTTGCCACTGTAGCTACTTAAAAACATTGATCGAAGTGAAGCATAATTAGCCGATGGACTTACATGTTACTTTCTTTCGTCAATGAAAGTGCCGCTATATATTAATGTATTCGTGTGTTTAATACATGAGATGCAATGCATTGTGCTTTTGCACATTTACCTTCCCAATGCTAAGACTTCAGAACACCTGCATACAAGCGCCTTGCATCGGGAAGTGCATTGCCTAATAAACACCACGAGAACATTTTCAGGTGTAACAGAAACAAACCAGTCGTCGCTGTCAGAGATAAGGCGGTGGGCTGCAAACACAAGGAGCCAGTCATTGAAGTGGAGAGCTTATTCAAATACACTCAACAAAGATTATGCTGTCAGTCGACATGCTATCATCAATCGGATCACTTAAACATGATAAGCCAATCATGACTCTGCTACACGCCAACAAATGTATCCTTGACTTTGAAGAAGTGACTCGAATCTAGAACAAAAGCCGCACAATGTAATACATGCCAAACTATACGTCCTACAATTGCTCACGGGTCTTCAGAAAGACGTCCTAAAGGCGCTTACACGAGATGACGGTGTCGATTTCCCTGGCTCTGTTGACCGAGTAAAACTTCCACTGACAACAGTTGCTGCACAAGCCACCGTCACACCGTCACACCGGCATGTGTGGTGCCATGCAGGTTGTTATGGGACGCAGCTTCACAGTGACTCATCTGATAGGGGAACTTGGCTTTGAAGTCCGACCAGTCTGACCTTTCCTTCTTAATGCAGCCATTGTGTGTTTAACGCAACGCCCGAAATGTATGTCGGTGGACCTGTTTGATATACAGTGCCCTATCCACGCTCCTGCGATGTGTAATAAACCATTAATGCAGTAATCCGGAGATATTGTGTAACGTAAACTTCCAGTCAAATGACTTACAGCAGGCATTGGACAATCCCTTCTTTAGTTTCATAACAGCAATGAACCAAGCTGACAGTAACACAATTGTCCAGGGTAATGTCATGTAGAGATCAAGCAGACTGGATATGGGTGCATGATACGAGCGCCCTTGCCAAATTTGTATTGAAAGAGGCAACGCAAATCAGGCGAGCCGGAGGTTGTGTTCTAACTCCTGGGCCAATGCCATCGTCACGCCTGAGGTGCTTCGTTTAGAGATTCTATCATAACATGTACGCTATGTGAATCATATAATTTAAAAGCTAAAGGTGCAGCCCTGCAATTGCTTGCTTAGGCACTGCTCGACGGGAAGGGCCTCCACTCGCAGAGAGAGGTTCCGTGAGTCGGTATTTTGGCTTATTATACCATGCTGGTCAGACGTCTTGGAAGAGGTGAGAATGCCCACATTTGACCCCACCACGTGCAACATGCCGACTGACTAACTGTGGTGTCATCTATTTATAACTTTGAGTGGACAGAGGTGGGAGGAGAAAAAGACATTCCCAATGTTTCAACTGCACCGACGAGGGATCAACCCAGTGACCCCTGGATTGCAACTCCAGAGTGCTGACCATTCTTACACCACGACAGCATATGGGGGAAAGGAGGGGACGTATTAGAGAATGCACAAACACGAATTCTGCATCCTTATTATGTTACTGGAAAACGCCGATGAAAGTTCACAGTTTAAGGCCTCCCCAACACTCACACTCTGTCCCCCCCCCCCATTCTTTAATATTCGCCATGGTGGCGAGATGTTAACTACCTCTCCTGGTATGCAGGAGGTCGTGTGTCCGATCTTGACCCTGACGCCTGTTGTATATTTGGAGGTTTGCGTGTCCTCCCCGTGGTCGCGTAGTTTTTCTCCAGGTCCTCAAGGACTTCCCCTCCACATTTAGAAACATGCGTTTAGAGTACTGCACTTGGATACTATACATTTCCACGTTATAAGCCACTTTGTTGAGCTATCATTATTGTCCAGGTCGCTTCTAAAAAACAGCTATATAGCTCAGTGAGCATTACCTGGTAAAATAACACAGTTTCCATACTAGTTACTTTTTACATTCGCGATGAGCTTCTGCACTATGATTTGTTGAATTTGCAGGGCTGTTAGCTCTCCACCCGATGCGATCTCGAGTTTCAGCCCATGTACAGTGAGGGAAAAAAGTATTTGATCCCCTGATGATTTTGTACGTTTGCCCACTGACAAAGGAATGATCAGTCTATAATTTTAATAGAATAGTTTATTTGAACAGTGAGAGGTAGAATAACAACAAAAATCATGAAAAACGCATGTCAAAAATGTTATAAATTGATTTGCATTTTAATGAGGGAAATAAGTATTTGACCCCCTCTCAATCAGAAAGATTTCTGGCTCCCAGGTGTCTTTTATACAGGTAACGAGCTGAAATTAGGAGCACACTCTTAAAGGGAGTGCTCCTAATCTCAGCTTAAAGGGAGTGCTCCTAATCTCAGCTGGTTACCTGTATAAAAGACACCTGTCCACAGAAGCAATCAATCAATCAGATTCCAAACTCTCCGCCATGGCCAAGACCAAAGAGCTCTCCAAGGATGTCAGGGACAAGATTGTAGACCTACACAAGGCTGGAATGGGCTACAAGACAATTGCCAAGCAGCTTGGTGAGAAGGTGACAACAGCTGGTGCGATTATTCACAAATGGAAGAAACACAAAAGAACTGTCAATCTCCCTCGGCCTGGGGCTCCATGCAAGATCTCACCTCGTGGAGTTGCAATAATCATGAGAACGGTGGGGAATCAGCCCAGAACTACACGGGAGGATCTTGTCAATAATCTCAAGGCAGCTGGGACCATAGTCACCAAGAAAACAATTGGTCACACACTACGCCGTGAAGGACTGAAATCTTGCAGCGCCCGCAAGGTGCCCCTGCTCAAGAAAGCACATATACATGCCCGTCTGAAGTTTGCCAATGAACATCTGAATGATTCAGAGGACAACTGGGTGAAAGTGTTGTGGTCAGATGAGACCAAAATGGAGCTCTTTGGCATCAACTCAACTCGCCGTGTTTGGAGGAGGAGGAATGCTGCCTATGACCCCAAGAACACCATCCCCACCGTCAAACATGGAGGTGGAAACATAATGCTTTGGGGGTGTTTTTCTGCTAAGGGGACAGGACAACTTCACCGCATCAAAGGGACGATAGATGGGGCCATGTACCGTCAAATCTTAGGGTGAGAACCTCCTTCCCTCAGCCAGTGCATTGAAAAATGGGTCGTGGATGTGTATTCCAGCATAACAATGACCCAAAACACACGGCCAAGGCAACAAAGGAGTGGCTCAAGAAGAAGCACATTAAGGTCCTGGAGTGGCCTAGCCAGTCTCCAGACCTTAATCCCATAGAAAGCTGTGGAGGGAGCTGAAGGTTCGAGTTGCCAAACGTCAGCCTCGAAACCTTAATGACTTGGAGAAGACCTGCAAAGAGGAGTGGGACAAAATCCCTCCTGAGATGTGTGCAAACCTGGTGGCCAACTACAAGAAACGTCTGACCTCTGTGATTGCCAACACGGGTTTTGCCACCAAGTACTAAGTCATGTTTTGCAGAGGGGTCAAATACTTATTTTCCTCATTAAAATACAAATCAATTCATAACATTTTTGACATGCGTTTTTCTAGATTTTGTTGTTGTTATTCTGTCTCTCACTGTTCAAATAAACCTACCATTAAAATTATAGACTGATCATTTATTTGCGAGTGGGCAAACGTACAAAATCAGCAGGGGATCAAATACTTATTTCCCTCACTGTAGTTGGCACGATGATCAGATGTTTCACTTCCCCATGCTGGGGGTTTCGTTAGGAACTCCATTCAGCTTTTCCTTATCGTGTTCAGGTGCCGAAGAAGCTTCCAGCATGTGGAGCCGAACGTCAGACATCGTGCTGAATACACACATCGGAGAGCTATGCAGCATAGCGCTCAAAACCATTTGCTGGTGCTCGCGCCTTTGATTGCCCGAGACGGGCTAACGTAGCTCAGGTGGATGGACAAACACGGACGGAT